TAACTTGTACATGTATGGGAGAAAGACTTCTTTGGGGGGAGTTTTAGAACACTACTATTGAAACATCTTCTTTGGTATCCAAGTGTATACATACAAAGATTCATATGCAGTAAGTTTAATATAAGTCATTGCCATTTCTCTTTGAGAGCTATTAAAAAATGAGTCACCTATGTCTGTGTTCCAATAGTCACTTCTTCTTAGGCATCAGCACTAGTTAACTAGTTATATGTATCTGGATATGGTTTTATGAGAATGTATTGATTTTTCAGCAAGGGATCAGAAAGAAAGTGCTAGTGACTCAACTTTGTAGATATTTGGAGGGTCAATAATTACTGAATTTGAACATCTCAAAAAAACTTTTTAAGGACTGAGCAATTTCCAACAAGCATAAAAGACCTCAAGGATTCAGGATAACTCTTTGAAATCACGAACTCAAATAGTAAGTAAAAGACTATATTGAACCATGTGGAAAAGGAATTTTACATAGAAAATAAGTTCAAGAGGTGTGTCACAATATGGTGAAATGTTTAATGATGGAATAATTGGGATTTCTGAAAAAGCCATATTCAATTGCTCTTCGTTTTGCTAAAATCATCAGCACGAACAGTTTTCCAGCTGGAATTTAGAAAGTGTGGTTATAAACTAGAATTTTTTTTTTGGTATAGTTTTCAGTAGGGAGAACTTTTCCTTTCTTTTATGATAGAATGTAAATATTGAAACAATGACAGAACAAGGGGTCTGAAACTTGTTTCAGTTGAAATTCAATTTAAATGTAGCCTCTGGACCAACTCTTCCTTCTTTCCATGATTTCTTCCTGAGATGACAGAAGGCCCTTCCTCCCCCCCCCGCCCCCCCCCCCGCCCCTACACTTTTCTTTGAGATATTTGGGTGCCTTCCTTCACTAAACCTTTAAAGCCCAAAACGATTTATAGGCTACCCCTATCCTACTAGAGGTAGGCATGTAAATGGATTATATTTGCATGGGTCACTCTGATTACAGGACTCCACTGTTTCTTGAACTAAAATTGCAAGATTTATTATTCTGTTAATGCTCATAAAGTCAGTCTTTTGATGAGCCATCATTTCCCTTTATGAGAAGCCTGTATACCAGTCACCCATGATAAGGGAGGAGAAAATCCAGACTTCAACATATTCATATTTCCTTGTGAACATTAATAAAGTCTTGAAATCCCATAGCACTTCAGGGCACAATGACTTGGGATACAGTAACAAAAGGCAAATTTCACGCAGCCAACATGTCCCTCATAGTGTTGGCTGTGTACAGAACCTAAGCTTTTTCCATTTTAATGAAAAAAACTTAGAAATTAACCTTCCTGGTGGAGAAGACACCCCACCAACTAGGCTTGTATTATCTTTGTGAAAATTCTTGAGGAATGACATAGCAGGAGGTGAGAACTTTCTCCCTTTATCTTAATGGTCCGCTAATGGCAAAGCATAATTACAGTGACTCAAGTGCCAACTTTATCAAGGTTTTCACTAAAACCTTCAGCCCCAGCGCTTTCCTTGACTGACCGAGCTTTTATTTAATCCAGTTGCTTTACTATCATTTGAAAGAAAACTGCCCCCAATAACAACAAAAAGCCTTATCTCCAACCATGTTAAATTTCTTTCTGTTACATTTTAGTTAGATAGTTAAGGCACTTGTGACTCCAAAAAAGTCGAAAAAAATTGTGTATGGCATCATTAATTGGAAATTTAGCCTTCCCACATTCAAACAGCGGGGTTTTGCAGGAGTTTTGCAAAGCCTCACGGCTTTGGGAAGTCAATTTGCTTCTAAACCAGAAGATGGTCTTCCAAGGAATGTCCTGAATTTGGAACGGGAAACTTAGCCATTGTACCTTTCCCCCACTGAGCCCACACGAGAAGCCCGAAAGCCACCCATCGGTCTCTGGATCTCCTCGCTGCCTTTGTCCCTTCTAGACGTGGAGGCTTGGAGAGGAGGTTTAGTTTCCAAGGATTGGAGCGTTTGAAGGGCGGGGCCATCTCCAAGTCCATCTCCCCTTTTTGTCCTCTTCTCCTGGGACGGGAGGGAGGAGCCAGGTCCCCCCGCGGCCGGTTCGGGAGCTCTCGGTCTCGGTCGCTGGAGGTGAGTCTGAAAGGGCGGCAGCCCGTTTAATTGTAGCGCAGGTTAATTTCTCGAGTTCACCGCAGTCGGTCAGCCAGCCGCTTCCCGGGTCTTTGCCAAGTGGGTTTATGAGGTCTGAGGCGTGTTGGGGCGCGCTCGCATTCTGCAAAAGGCTCCTCCCCAGGGCTCATTCCCCGACCGCGGGCAGCCCTTCGCTGCCCCAGGAGCCCTGGATTTCCTCTGACCTCGGCGCTTCCTCCTCGCGCCCCACCGCCAGGTTCCGTGCGCCCCTGCCCCCGGGGAAGGGCGGCCCCCGTCTGAGGACTTCCGACCCGAGCCAACCCCGGAGGTACCCTCACGTCGAGGAAGGGTTTATCGCAGCCTCCACCACCGTGCAGTAATAGGGGCTTTCAACCTGAAATACGATTGTTATTTTCCCGGCGCAGGGCTTGACAGAGAAAGTCAGCTTTTTATTAAAGACAAAGAGGTAAATGATCAGCTGGGGCGCTGAAGCGACGGCGGAGACCTGGCGCGCTTCCTCCCGCGGCCACGAGGAATTTGTGGGGGAGCGGCTGCGGGCGCTCAGACACCCCTGGGGTCCCGGGGGAGGAGCTCGCGGCAGAGGGACTTCCCCAGGGCCCTCCGGGCACCTGGCGTGGGGGAGTCCTCCCAGTTCTGCACAAAGCCGGGGGCATTTCAGTTCTGAGCAGCCTTACCTTCCTCCTCTCTCCTTTCTTCTTTCAATTCTCTTTCTTTGACTCTCGTCTCCCCTTCGCCTCTGTGCTTTCTCCTCCTTGCTCTCCTCTCCCTACTTTTTCTCGTACCTCTCCCCGCCCTCCCCCTCCTTTCTTCTCCACCGCACGCGTAGTGTCATTTATTTATTTATTTATCACCCCCGCCATCAACACCCTTTTAGGGGTCCCAAGCTTTTCAGTGTGAGTGGGAGGAGAAGAGCGCAGGAAGTGTTGACGGCAAGGGGGTGAAATCGTGCCTCTGGGTGAGAGATTCTGCCCCGGAATAAACGACTGGGGAAAACCTTGGAAAATACGGATTCGGATCTGTTTAGGAAAGCCCGCTATCCGATGGGAACCAACTCCGCGCGCGCCTCCTCCTCCCCTTTATTGTATGGGTTTATGGGTCTATCTTCCCGGACTGTTGTTTGTTAGGGGGGAGGGAGGGAGTATTAAAGAGGACAGTCTGGCCCTGGATCTTCAACACCGCGCCTTCTCCACCGGATGCGCGCTCCCCAATGCAAAGGAATCCAGCATCATCCCCCAATTCAGACCCGGACAAAAGAAACTTTAATTAAGGTCTCTGCCCTGCGCGCTGTGTGTTTCTCTCTCCGGATGCTGGTGATGTCCAACTCGAGGATGTGAGAAATAGAAATGGTACAACCAGCCCGTGCCCTTGAACTTCAATTGCTCCTGACTTGCTGTATTGATTTTTTTTTTTATAGTGTAGGCACCTCCCCCCGACCCCCCATCAAATTAAAGCCTTAGGAGACATTCAGCCTGGTGAGGGGTGAGGGGCAGCCCATTCCTTTGCCAAAGAGATAGTTCAGAACGATTTGGGGAAAATTACACTAAATAAAAATTCAAGGTGTGAAAGCTTCATCTTGGTTCTCTTGTCTTCAACACCATGACACCTTATCATTAGAAGCGCTGATTGTTACTTTCCGAGCCTTTGGATGATCAGCCAGAAAGTGCAAACAACGCGGGGCTGGAGGGTGTAAAGTTATTTAAGTAGGCTTTTTTTTTTTTTTTCCCTTTTGGTGCGCCGTCAAAACATTTCACAAGTTAGGAAAATAAAGTGGTGGTTCCGAAGCTCGGAATGATGGGCTCTTTCCCTCCCCACCCCACCCCCCCCTTTCCATATCAGAAAAGAAATAAAATGCACAATGAGCCTTTATTTCGGGGGAGAAGACTTCAAAATACGTGCCAGTAATGGACAATTTGAGCTTTTCACTGGAGATACTCACATCGCAAGCTGGAAAGGGATTAAAAAGCCCCACGTGGTTGATCTGGGTTTAGACTTGCAACCTCTAGTTCCCCATGTATGTTCTTTGCAAAGATTGGCCTCTAGATGGATGCGTGTGAGGGACTCTCCGGGGCCGGGGCCGGGCGCCTCGGGCTGGGCTGATGGTGGGAGAGCTATGAGCGGCCGCGCAGGGTCCTCCGCGGGGGCCTCCTCGGGCGGCCAGGGCGGCCGGGCGCCTCCGGGCCGCGAGCGCGCACGCCCCAGCCCGGCCGCCGCGCGCCTCGCACCGCCTTCTCCGCAGGTCTTTATTCATCTCGTCTCCCTCTTCCCCTTCTCCTCCTCCTTTGCCTCCTTCTCCTCCTCTTCCTCCTCCTCCACCTCCTCCGCCGCCGCCGCCACCTCCTCCTCTTGCATCTCACTGGCCTGCTTCTGTGTTGCTCAGAGTGACAAAGACAATGTCCCAGCCTTAACTTTGCAACCACCTTGCCTCCTTCTGGGGTTCGGCGGGGGGGGGGGGGGGGGGGGGGGGGGGGACAGCGGCCGCAGCTTCAGCATCTCCTCCAGCTTCTCCTTCTGCGCTTCTTCAGCTCTTGGATCCTTCTCTCCCCCCCCCCCCCCCCCCCCCGGCGCTTTCCTCGTTTCTTTCTTTCTTTTTTCTTCCCGGCTCCTGCACGTTGTTGTTGTTATTAGAAAGGCTTCGCGCACCCCCTGGTGCTCCGGCGTTTTGTGTGGCAGGAGAAGATTGTCTTCCTTCTCTCTTTCTGTCTTGCTTTCTCTCTCCCTCCGGTTGCTCATTATTCAGAGAGAGACACAGAGGGAGGGAGAGAGAGAGCGCGCGAGGGAGAGGGAGGAGAGGAGAGAGGAGAGGAGCGAGGGGAGAGAGTGAGAGGGAGAGGGAGGGAGGCAGGGAGAGGGAGAGGGAGAGAGAGACGGATATCTCAGGTCATCTGCAGCTGCAGCGAGTCTGAGGAGCCGAGCAAGGCAGGGAAGATGGCGATCCTCCATTGCTGAGCCCCGGCAGGAGCACATGAGACTCCCCAACAACTTCCACAACAATAACCCGAGCAGGAAGAGGAGAAAGAGAAAGAGAATAAGGAGGCGGTGGGGCCGGAGAACCCGAACCCCCTCCCGGCGCCGGGACACTTCTTCCGTAAGTTCCTGCAATTCGCCGCCGCCCCGGGGTGGTCCGGGGGCTCCGGGGAGCGGAGCGCGGGGCGCTGGAGGCAGCGACGCGCTCATTCATTCGGCCGAGGAGGGTCGGTGGCGCGGGGAGGAGAGGAAGTCCCCTGCGTGGACTGGCTGCTGGAAGAGAAGAAGCGAGCGAGACGAGGAGGAGGAGGAGGAGGAGGGGGAGGAGGGGGAGGAGGGGGAGGAGGGAGAGCAGGAGGGGGAGGAGGAAGAAGAGGAGGAGAAGCGAGGGAGGAAGAGGAGGAGGAGAAGGTGGTGGCGGTGGCGGCGGAGGTGGCTGTGCTTTTGCTGCTGGCTGCTCCTTCTGCCGGGGGAGCGGAGCGCGGTGGCTTCATTAATTTCGTGTAGTTCTATGGAGAGAAGAGAAAATGAAAGATGAGTGAGAAGAGAGCGGGAGGCTCCGGACGGATGCTCCGAGCGCGGGGACAGGAGTAGGGACAGAGAGGGGGGCGGAGGGCGGGAGGCGAGGGCACCGGAGCCGGGAGCCGGGAGCCGGGAGCCGGAGGGAGAGCGCGAGGGGCAGAGCAGCGAGCGCTCGAGCCGCCCCGACCTGAGCGGGCTGACCTCTTTCTCTCTCTGTCCGTCTCCTTCCTTTCCCCTCTCTGTCTGCCTGTCCCCAAGCCCGATGGCAAAGCCGTGCGGATTGGCACCCCCCTCTTCCTCAGGTATTTGGCTCTCTCGCTCTCGCTCTCGCTCTCTGCTCTCTCCCCGAAGTTGGGATGCGGGGTCGGGATGTGCCGGGGGGCGGCTGCTGGTGCTGCTGGTGCTGCTGGTGAGGAGAGAAGCGAGGCGCGGGGGGCGCGGGCCGGGGTGGGGGGGGGAGGGGGCGCAGGTTCAGGAGCGGCCGAGGAGCTGTCTCCAGGCTGGGGGTTCAGAAGCGCCTGGTGGAGGAGGACAACGGTTTCTGGAGAGGAGAAGCCATTACACACGCTTGGCTCTCTGAGGAAGGGAGAAAAGAAGGCAGGGGCCTGGGGGTCGCCTCACTCCTGGTGCGGTTCCCAGGGGTCTGCCCTCCTTCCAGGCGCGAGGGGAAGCCGCAGCCGCCCCCCCCCCCCCCCCATTGGAGCAGCCCCTCTCTTTCCCTTTCTTTATCTCCCTGTCCTCCATTTGCAAGCTGTCTGCTTTGGTTCCAGTCCAGACTCCAAAACACAAAGCTCCTTCTCACGTTCATTCTCCAGGCTTTTCACCATTCCTGAAGGAACCCTCATTTTCTTTTCATTGTAGCTTCTAACCTACAGAGAGGGAGGGAGGCTGCCTGGAGTTCCTTTTATATTCCTCCTCTACCCAAAGGGGGAAAAAAAAAGTTTTATTTTTAAGCACGCGTCTGGGATGGGAAAAGACCAACCAGTTGGGGCTTTCTCCCAGGGCTCCCCGGGGGTTGTGTCTGAGTGTCTGTGTTGGTTGTTTGGTTTGCTTTGGTTTTGTTTCTGGAGGTGGCTTGCAGGTTTTTGGAGGAAGTGACTAGTTTGGTTGGGAGCTGGGAACTGAGTCAGGTAGCGGTGTCATGTTGTAACTCCACCAGAAAATGGAGGAGAGCGGGTTTCCAGGAGACAAAGCTGAGATGAGAAGTGTTTATAAAATTATGGATGTCTCCATTTTGAAGCTCTGTTGGTGATGGCTGGTGGAGGCTTGCCTGCCTACTCCTTCTTTTCCAGGGTGAAATCCTGTGGTGGTTCCTCACCATCTATTCATTATGTGAGGAAATGAGGGACTTGTAAGGGCTGCTCAGATTTTTCTCCCACCAAAGGAGTGCCTTCGCAAGTTATTGAGGCGTTCGTTTCCATTTTAAAGTAAACTTTGGAGACATTTTTTTTCTTCTTTCGAGTGGACCTGAAGGGTTTAGACCTTCTTCAGGAAAGGCAAGGCAAAACCTGAGACATTTTCCACCGAGGTCTTCACACAACTTTCAGCTGCTCCAGGTCTCCTGAAAGTCACCAGGAAATGTTATTTCCTCATTGTGAAGATGGTGGTGGCCCTAAGCTGAGATTTTGGAGTTCTGGGGCTTGCTTATCATCATGTTTTGATGCATTGCAAGACTTTATTGTCTGGTTTGAGCTGATTGCTGCAAAAAGGGAAAAAAAAAAAACCCATAACAACAAATCCTGCAAGATCTCAGAGGAACTCTCAGACTGACTGACACCAGTTTCTCCAGACTCCACATTTCTCCTCAGGTTGTTCCATTTGTGTCTAAGGCCTTCTTTTAGTTCCTTTGTTTTCCTCCTTCCCTTTCATTCTGCTCTTTTTTCCTGTGTTCTCAAGTACTGTAAGTCTTCAGAAATATCAGATGTCTTCTTAACAATGTCACTATGGAAACAATGTTTTAAAATATTTTGTCTGTTGAGAAAACCTTATGTCCAGGTATCTTCACCTTTTTAATTGGGAAGAATTTAGTAGTCTTCTAGGAAGACATTTTGTGAGGATGATTCGAAGGAAGGACCCAGTCCTAGCCCAGTCTCCACACATTGATTGGAGTTCTTCACAGATTAGTTCTGGAGAATGTATGTAATTGATCCAAGTAAAGAACAAAATCCTGAAATGCTTGAGGAATTTATAAAAGCCAACCATGGAAGATGTTGCTTTACCATTAGGTAAGGTAGCCATCTTGAGGATGAGGGAAGATGTTGGAAGAATTTTAGGTGGACTGTTGATAAGATAGATGAGGAAGCCTCCACCTTGGAACAAAAACTTGGAGGAGATTCAGAACCAATTAACATATTGTAAGGAGGCTTGATTGAACCTTGTTTTCAACTAAGGAGAAGCATAGAGAGGTACCAGCTTCAACAAATAAAGAACACATTTGTGAGCGACTTACACCAGCTTTTTTCTTGCTTTGCTTTCCCATTATGTGTCAGATTTGTGTGTGTGTGTGTGTGTATGTGTGTATGTGTGTGTGTGTGTGTGTGAAGTTCCTATGTCTACAGTATTTTTGTGCATATTGAAGTGGTTTTAGATTCCAGATGTAATTATATTCTGTTGAGTAGCTGGTAGCAGTGTCATTCAGCACAGGCACAATGCTATATATGACAACATCACATTTTTCAAACCAAACTGTTGTGTCATTAATTGAGGGTTATTGTTCTTCTGAGGACTGTGAAAGGAGAGGAGAAATACATGGTTCTTTAGTTGATAATTGTCCATGGTCAATGAAGTAAAACCCTGTATTTTGCAGAGGAAGATGTATGGATTTCAAGATCTTTCAGTTGATGTGTATGCTCGTTTAAAAATACTTCTCTTCAGATCTCTGCTTCTGGGCTTCTCCAAGAGCACTTGAAAAATCTTACTTCTTGGAATCATACCTTTTATTAACCAGTTTTGACTGTTATCTTTTGATACCATTACTTTTGCTCTTCAGTGGGATGTCGTCAATGTTATACTTAAATTTGCTAATGCATGTGTGGATGCTACTTGTTCCAACTCAGAAGTTCAAATGCAGTGGAATAAAAAGAGTTATTTGGGAAAGTAATTACCAGATAATTTTGCATCTAATTAACCATACCTGTGTATGTAAACATAAATACATTATAGGTTGATCTTGAAGCAAACTTCCATGGTATCTTTTTCGTTGTTGATACCAGGACAACCAGTATCCGTTAATTACTTATTTCGGTGTGAAAAAAATCTGACAACCTGATTGCTAGTCTAGCACTTTGACTCACCACATTTTTTACTTTGTGACCAAATATTTTGGTGTCTTTATAGACAGTCTTAGAGTTGAGAATTTCCTGGAGGGAAAAAATTAGGTATATAAGAGGCACTTTGGAGTTTGAGAATAATGTTCTAACTGGTTACCTAAGAGACATATTCATCCCTGATGTCCTTCATCTACGTGGGAAGCACCTCATATTAAAGAGGTGGTTTCTCCCATTTTTCTAGGGATACACATTTGAAATGGGACAAGAATTTTGGATAGAGTGCTATAAGAGAAATACAAAGCGTGTCAAATTGAACACTCTTATTTGATGTCAGAGCTCAGAGATTTTTGGTTTGGTTTTGTTTCTGAGGCATCAAGTTGACGAGACTCATTATGCAACTTTTTTTCCATGGCTCTAATATATCACAAAGAGAAATCCTTCTGGAGACATATATATGAGGTATGAGACACCTTGCTGTAGAAAAGATTCTTATTGGATCTTTGTATTCCACAGTTTTTCTCATATTAGATATATCTCTGTCTAATCTACCGACCACATTCCCTGAGGACTTGTCTTTTTCCACACTCCTTGGAGTTGGAAAGAACTTTTAGTTAGAAAAAATATATATGTGCATACACATATGTATATGAGTGTGTGTATATCTTTCTTTCTAATGAGTCTTCTGGAAGACAGTAGAGGAAAAGAAATCCAACCCTACTAATGGACTTTAGCGTCTTTGTGGTCAGTTTTCCTGAAAGAAAATAATGGTAACATTGCCTTGGGAAGAGTTCTGCTTTCTGTATGTTGGAGTTTAATAGAGTCTAGTCTGTCTTGAATTCTTTTCTGGTGTTGAGAGTTCTTGGTTAAGGTAACCTTACTCATCTTCTTTGTGCTGTATGCCTTTATCAGACTTACCGCTCACTGCCTCACGGGACAGAGCAATGACAAAGCTGTATTGAATGTTTCACGTTGAAAAATGGAGAACAGAGGTGCTATTTCACAATGCCACACTCACAAATTAGGAAATACCATAAAGAATGCACTCAGATTGCAAAGGGTCTGACACGGGTATATGATTGGATGATTGGTATGTGGAAATTAAGGAAATTCAAAAGAAGTTGAGGAAAATATTTCCAGGGTCTATCATTAGTGACAGTGAACTGGAAAAAAAAAGTTGGCTTCTATGTATGTGTCTGTGTGTGTCTGTGTGTTAAGGCAAGTATCTCCTGAGGTTCACATACTTAAGCAGTTGGTGGCTTTGAGAGAAACATTAGCTGGCGTTGGTGACCTATTAATTGATTATGAGAAAATAGAGAGGAGAGTAGATAAT